GGACGTGGGCCCACGGCGCGGTGACAGAGCGGGGTGACGCGGTGACGAAGTGGGGTGACGCGGCGACGCGGTGACAAAATGGGGCGAGATGGTGGCAAAGCAAGGTGATGTGATGGTGCGGTGACAAAATGGGGTGACACAGTGTGACAGCAGTGTGATAGTGACAAGCAGTATGGCACGGTGCAGAGATGTGGTGATGGTGACAATATGGCGTGGTACGGTGATGCAGTGGCCTGGTGATACAGCGATAGTGACAAAATGGCATGGCTCGGTGAGGTGACAGTGACAAAATGGTGTTGCACAATGCCGTGTTGAGCTGGTAACACAGTGATGACACAGTTGTGTGGCAACACAGTGACCAAAGCATGTGGTGGTGCGGGGACACGGTGACGTGGTGACCCAATGGCACAGTGATAGTGTGACGTGGTAAAGCAGTGCAGTGATGTGGGTACGCGGTCATGGGGGGGTGACGTGACATGATAAGTTGACACAGTGAAGCGGTGACACAGTGCCAGATGCCACCATGCGGTGGGGTGACCCAGCGATGGACTTAGGGGATGAGGAGGTGACGTAGTGGTTGGGTGACAGTGTTATGGTGTCGTGGTGCTGTGATGGTTGAGTGACAAGGTGATGTAGTGACATTGATGGGATGCTGTGGTGGTCAGGTGATGGGGTGACATGATTGGGTGACAACACAGCAACAGTGTGATGTGGTGGTCGGGTGACATGGTGATACGATGGTTGGGTGCTGTGGTGACGCGATTGGGTGATGGGGCACTGCGGTGGCAGAGTGGTTGGGTGAGAGGGTGACAGTGTGACATGGTGGTCGGGTGGCAGGGTGACATGATGTCACAGGTGATGTGACACGGTGCTGCAGTGCTTGGGTGACAGTGACGACACAGTCGGGTGATGGGGTGACCTGGCAACATGATAGTTAGGTGACAGGGTGACATGGTGTCACAGCAGTGGGTTGACATGATAACATGGGGACGCAGTGGTCGGGTGCCATGGTAGTTGGGTGACACACTGATGCGATGCTGGGGTGGCCGAGTACCATGGTGACCCAGTGATGCGGTGACACGGTGGTTGGGTGACACGGTGACACCCGTCCCCAGGAGCAGGAGCGGGTGACGCTGCGGCAGGAGCTGGAGCAGAGGAGCCAGGAGCTGCGCGAGGCCCAGAGCCAGCACCAGGTCCCGGACGCCTGGGCCCCTGGTGGAGGGGGGGATGGAGGCA